GTAAATAATACAAAAAATATATAAGTTTAGGAATTAACACAATTCAAATGGATAAAGAAATAAAGAATAAATAGCTCCAACAATGACTGTTAGGGTAATTTTGAATTTCTCTAAATTCTCCTTAGGTGTGAGAGTGCGTGTATGAATGGTTGTTTGTCTCTGTGTTGCCCTGCGATGGACTGGCAAACTGTCCAGGGTGTACCCAGCCTCTCGCCCATAAAAAGCTGGAGATAGGCACCAGCACCCCTCGCGACCCCAGCAGGGATAAAGCTTCACGGGAAATGGATGGATGGAATGGAATCTGTTCCATAGATCTAGCCCATGCACTCTTTTTGGTTATCCCATTAAGTTGTTGGTTTTTCTTCTTCATTTCATCTTAAATAATAACTCACCTCTCTGTCACAAAACAGTTGTTTTCATATTGTGGTTCTGTACTTTGAAAATGAATTATGCAATTTTTCATTCTTAAAATAAAGACATGTTTAAAGTCTAGGTTCATTTTAATTGCCCCCAGTTTTTATGTTGTAGTTTTCCACATAAAATGAGCACTGATACATTAAACACGAACGAAGGTTTTATTTGTCATGTGCTCATAAAAACATTAGAAAACCCTCGTTTTTCTTCCTAATATTAATTACCTGAAGAATACAAATAACAAAAAAAAAAAGAAAAGAAAAAGAAAGAAAGTGTGGTCTAATATTTTTTCCCTAATTGTAGGTCTTCACAAAGTGTCAGTTTTATAAAGGATTGCAGCCAAATGAAAAACAGGAGGAGGTTGGCTCTGGTGTAAAAGCTTTTTTACCTGTCTGGCTGTGCTTCCATTCTGACCGTGCTGCATGGAGCTCATGGGAGCAGTGTGTGGCCTTAACCTCAAGTTGAGACCCATCAGGCCAAAAGTAGAAAGCTGGTACTGCAGTTCCGTGATCAGGTCTTGTTGCTCCTGTAGCTTGTCGCTCTGAAATAGAATAAAGAAAAATCCTTAAAGTATAATATTATACACATGCTTAGGATAACAAGTTATAGCTGAACGTGGTTAATTCTGGGAATGCTATTCAAACAGAAATAAACAGCATCACATAAACTGTGTGTAACCTGCTGTTTGTATTGCTCCATGGCGTCCTCCAGTGCTGCTAAGAAATCAGTGTTTTCCTTCTCCAGGCGTTGGATTTCTGATTGAAGATGAAGTATACTCTCTTTCTCATTTTCATGATCACCGTCCCAGCTTTCCTCCACAGCTTCTGTGTCCTGTGACAGAAGTTTATTAAAAAATAATCAGTAAAAACCACGCATAAAGTGAACAAAATCTATCTGAAAGAAACATACGTGATTCCTAATAGAAGGCCTGTTTCTTCTCAATGCCACGGTTTCCTCGGTGGAGCTGTTCTCGATACCGCTGTCTGGTCCGGAGGCGGTTGTGAGCCCACTCCTCTCCTCCTCAACCGAGCAAAGCCACTCCTTCACCCTCAGACTGTGTTCTGTGGTTAAAGCCCCCTCGCTCTGCAGTTCCCGCAGCAACCTGTTCCACAGCAGCAGTGCACATATTAATACAAGACATATTAGGTCTCCAACACAAAATGGGCTAAAATCTGTCCTGTTAAACATGGAAATCATCAAACTGATTCAAACAAAAAAAATCACCAGTTGAGCAATGAAAAGCAATAAAAAACAAACCTGTAAGCAGTGTCTGTACAAGTCCTGTAGTGAGCACTTTGTGCTTGCAGCCTGCAGATCTCTGCTTCTCCGATCCGAGGTCTCCTGTTCGGATCGCCGTGAGCAATGATTCGCGTCTCAGAGCGCTGACGGTTTTCCAGAGCCCTACGAAGGGCTTTGATTTGCTGCTCCAGTCCTTCCACACGATCCGGCTCTCGCTTGAGGTTGACCATAGCTTTGTTTTGAATGTTTCTGGCCCTGGTCGCATAGTTCAGAGTGTTAAGACTCTCATCAAAGTCTGAGTTTGATGGGCTGATGCAGGCAATCATCAGTGTTTTCGAATTTCCTCCAAGAGAGTCTTTTAGAATCCTAAAACAAGAACAGAATATATTAAAGGTGTCATTTAACGTTTCCTGATGGAATATAGCACCAAAACAGACATACCTTGTGATTTTAGAGTCTCTGTACGGTATATGGGAACCTTTCCTCTTTGGGTCCCCCAGAGCTCCTATAACATTTCCCAGAGCCAAAAGCCCGCTGTTGATTTGGATGCTCTCTTTCAATCTCTCTCCAGTGTTACCAGTCCTTAAAATGCGCTCTGACCCAGCCAGGTCTACAAAGTGAAACTTGGAAGACAACACCTGTGGCCCGGAGCTTCCAGCACTCCCATACAGGCGAGAACTTCCACGACGCTGATCCATGTAGAGTGTGAAAATGGTGTGAGACCTGCTGGAATTTGGATTCATCTGGGTTGCACCGGTGTGTCTAGCTGTGTTTCCCGACTCCAGCAAGCTTAACACCTCATCAAGGCCCTCTACTTCACTCTCCTTTACACCACTTAGCACTAGAAAGAAACAGGAAATAAATGAAGGCAAATATATATTGTATTTATTTTGTGACACTAAAACTGAAACGTCTTCTGAATGCATACCAATGTTCCCTTTATCCTCCCTGATGTGAATGTCCTTGCTGGCGGTCTTCACCTCCAGCAAGTCCTTGAACTCCTCTTTGTACACCTCCAAATAGGAAACTCGTACAGAGAAGTCGGTCAGGTCATTTTCATCGAGCAGTTTGAAAACATCAGCAACAGCCCTGGGGATGATACCCTGCTCCTCCTCTCTGAAGGAACCTAGAAAGATAGGCACATTTTCAGGACCACATGAAAGCCAATTTCAAACCAAATGCTTCAAGAAAGAACTTTAGCAAGGAAATGAAAAAAAAAATGAAATTTTTGAAAAGTTGTTGTCATTTAACACAACAAAGCAATACAAAAATATAAAAACTTACTAATATTAGCTTCTCCAATAGTGTAAGTCTTGCCTGAGCCTGTCTGGCCATAGGCAAACACGGTGGCATTGAATCCTTGGAAGAATGCATCGATAAGTGGCTGAACAGACACAGAATAAACATCCTCCTGACAGCAACTCTCCTCAAACAAGAAGTCACAAACAAAGTGTCGATCATGGCCCAGCGTGACCCGGTTCAACTCAGGGTCTACGGTGATGCAGCTCTCATGGCAGTGCAGGAGCTCTTTGGGAAGCAGAGGACGAACTCGAACCGCAACTTGGACAGCAGAATAGTTCCCTCTACCTTGGCCTGAAGGTACTTTGGGCGACATTTTTTCCTCTTCCTCCTCCTCTGTAGCACACTGTTACGTACCCGTCATCTTTGGACCAATTAAAGAGACAAAAATAAAAAAATGTGTTAGAATAATAATAATCATACATTTTATCTGAAGGTGCCTTTCTCGACACACAAGGTCACTGTACAAATGTACAAAAAAATGCATTCAAATAAACAACAATAAAGATCAATAAAATAGGCAGAGGCAACGGCAATAAGCCTCAGACAGAAAAGGCAGTCTTAAACAGATTCTGAGTTGGAATTAAGTGGGTGCAAAATAATCGTCATATTGATGCATCGCGATTCTAATTTTTGTGATCTACTGCATCTA